TATGCAAACTGTATTTTTTAAGGATTATATTCTTACAAACATTCTATTAAACATAAATATATATATATATATTACATATTTATTTCTTGTTAGAATTCTTTGTAATACAAGAAAAAATATACTTATAGAATGTAATTTAAATATTTTAAATAAATAAAATTTTTTATAATATTAGAAGCATCACATTTTTAGATATATTTTTTAAGAATATAATTTTTTTTTTAATTTTTTTAGTAAGCTAATAAATATGCATTAAATGATTTAACAAGATTTAACATTTATAATTATATATGAATTCTTTTATATGTAATTCTCATATATTATATATAAATATTCTTGCAGGCATATTTTATATCTACAAAGAATATTTTTGAACATTATACATAGAGTAGATTTTATATATATATATATATATTTGAATTAAAATGATATAGTACCTTTTACAAAATAAATTTTGTTTATATTTTGAGATATAAATTATCAATTTTAATAAGAATGCATAATCAACATAGTCCTTCATATTCATCTTCTTCATCATTATTTACATTTTTTGAAAATGCTGCTTGTGTTTGTTCTTTTTCAATAGTATCTTCTGATGATGTTTTTGGAGCATCCTCAGATTCTTTAATACTCATGTTCTAGAATATAATATATAAATATATATTGAAGACTTTTATTGTAATATATATATATGAATAAAAATAAATTAATAAATAGAAAAATTTATTCTTTACTTGAACTTCACTTGTAGTTTCTTCCATTAATTTTGATGCATTAGGAGATGTATATGATTCTGCTGCATTAGCTCTTACTCCTGGAGGAGGTATTGCATATTCTTGTTGTGGCAAAGGTAAACCTCTAGCAAGTTTAGCATATTCAACATCCATGTGTTTAATAAAAGGGTTATTTAAGGCTGCTCTTGCAGCATCTGCATCTTCATTGTCATATGCTTGTAATAACATTTCTAATGTATTGATCTAAAAATAAACAGAAATAAATAAAAATAAATATAAAAATTTTAATCAAAAAAAACTTAAAATTTCTAAAAGATATGATTTAACCTCAGGTGCTTCACAATAATTTCCCCATTCTTTGAAAGCTTTTTCAGCAGCTACTTGATCACCTCGAGCTAATTGTACTAAGACTAATGCTACTGTTAATCTACCAACAGATGGTGTATGATCTGTTTGTTGATGCATTCCAATTTCTCTACGGATTGCATCTGCTGCTTCATCATACATTTGTAGTTTTACTAATAATCTTGCCACTTTGCTCATATATTCTGCTGCTTGACGTGGACTATCTTCACCCTTCATTAAAAAATATGTTAATATAATTTTTATTATTAAAAATATTATTAAAAAATTATTAAAAATACTATTAAAAATAAATTATAAATATCTTACCATAACAATACTAGCAGCACGTTTAAATAAGTCTAGTGCCTCTTGTGGTTGAGTAGCTTCTATCATTTTTCCTCCTTTATCAAGTACAGTTGCACCTGATTCAGGTGACCCATGCATCAAGTATAAAGAGCAAGCACTGTGTGCTAATTTTGAAACTTCTGTAAGATTTCCCATTTCTTTGCAAATTAAAGTAGCTTGTTCAATACTCCTATAATTATATATATTGATTTATAATATATAATAAATCAAATTTTTTTTTATAAAATATATCATTAAAAATTTAAAAAACTTACTTTGCAGCATGAAACCATCTTTTGTGCAGTAATGTTAAAGAATAAATATTTTAAAAACATAAATAACATAAAAACATAAATATATAAAACAAATTCAAAATCATATTATGAGTCATATAAAATGATTATTTTAATTATCTTGTAAATTATTACCTGTATAATAAACAATTTTATAAAAAAAAAATTATATAATATAAATGGAAATATAATTTAATGTTATCAATTTCTTGCAAGTAAACATATAAAGAATATATAAAAATCAATTTTGTTTTTTTTTAAATAGAAAATATATTTTTTTATAATATTATACATTAATCAATAATAGTTATTTCTCATAAAAAACTATTTATTTATTATATATATTTATTATTAATAAAAAACAAGATAAAGGAACATTTCTTTTCTTTCAATGAATTTGTTTTTTTCATTGAAAATTATTTATACTATAAAGAATTAGATCAATATTAAAAATTACATGATTCTACTAAAAAAAAAGATGATTTCTATATGTCTATTTATTTATTTATAAAAAAAATGTTATATTTCCATTTATACAATCCAATTTTAATATGTTTTTTTATACAATAAATAATTTAAAAATTATTAGATTTGTAATCATGTTATATAATTCATGCTGTACATTTAAATACAAGAAATAAAATTTTGTTTAAAAGAAAGGATACGATCTATTTTCTTTATAACAATCAGAAGCTTTCATTAAGCAATCTTTACATTGTTGATAAGATTTTGCTATTCTAAAGCAAGTTGCTAGAACAAATAACAGAAAACATGTTATTTATATAACATTATATCAGTTATCAGAATGTTTTATTTTACATATTACTTTAAGTTATATGTATTATATCTAATATATTTTACCTGCACTTGTATATTCGTCAGCCGCAACTTCGAAATCAGGTCTCCATTTTAATAGTGATGTTTTCAAGCTATAATATAGATTTATTTTATTTGAATAGATGGATCGATAAAAATGAAATTATTTTTATACTATAAAAAATATATATTATCGATTTCATATAAAAAAATTGACAAAAACTAGATTAATTGTTGACATAATTTTATACGACTTGTCATCTTGTATTAACAATACCTTTTCTCAGCTTGTCGTATATGAAGATTTCCTTCTTCAATTTTTGACATTTTTTTCCGAATGGTGTCTTAATTTGATTTTCGTCAGATTTGATGATTGTCAGTAATGAAATAATTAATTTCAGAATTATTTCTGTATTGAATGACTGTTATCGAACCACCATACAGACAATAGATTTTTCGTTCTACACGATTTAAATGTGTTAGATTAATTTATCAATGTATGTGTCATTTTACATTGTATGTGAATATCTTTGAGGTCTCTAGTAGTCTTACCATTTTAGTATCATTTCCAACTTTATCGATATTACGTGTACTTAGTTAACTGCATGTTATAAGATTATAAATAGTGAATGAATTGATTTGACAAATAGCATAATTTTTTTGATAGATGTTTCACAAATTTTTTCTATTTCTTTTGTTATTTAGTCAGACTTTTGTTTGTTTAAATTCCATCGTTATAATTGAATAGTCAAAACTGTATATCAGATTATATTATTTTGTGAGATCATTCTAAAGATTTGTAAATTTTAGAATATCTATATTTTTTATATTAAAAACTAAAATATTGTCTTAAAAAAGAAAATATGTAATTGACATTTTATTTTGCTTATAATCACGAGATAGTTTCTAGTTTAATAAATATACATAATAGTAAATACTAAGAAAAAATAAAGGATATGATCAGAATATGAATAGATCACCAATATTTTTTTCTCTATATCTCTCAATACTTTAATATTATATCTCTCTATATTTTTATTTTTTATCTCTCTTTCATTATTTACTTTTTTATTTGAATTGCAGAATACATTTAAAAAATAATTTTGATAATTTTATTATTTTCTTTACATAAGATATTGATTAACAATCTTAAATCTTAAATCTTAAAAATCATAAATTGTCAATATTTTTTCTCTGTAATATTATATAATATAAATTTATATAATAAATTTATATAAATATTAAATACATATATTTTTATTTTTTTATTATTTTTTAATGATTTTTAATATATTAATATAAAATTAATAGCTTTTTCTCAACCTGAAATGTAATAATAATAAATGAATATGTTTTGAATGAATTTATATTAAAAAAAAATATTTTATTTTTATAGTTTTAAAAAATAGTTTTAAAAAGTAGTTTTAAAAAATAAATAATTAAAAAAATTTATTTTTAATATAAAATTAATTTTATTTATGCATATTTATGAATTAATTTAAGAATATATTGTATTATATAATAGTATATTTACTATAAATATAACACATTTTTTTAAAAATAAATTTATTTCTTTATGAATTTTTCTTTTATTATTTCTTTTTATATTATTATCCTTTTTCATATAAATAAGTTTAAATTATAATTTATTTATTGTTTTTCTTTCTTAAATGATATAAATATTTAATGAAAATATATTTTGTTCATAAATCAAACAAGAATCGAAAAAAAGTTTTGACAATCAGCGCCATCTCGCGTTTGGATTATCGAAGCTCCAACTCATTACTAGCATAACAGAATATGCAAAGAGGTATACGAATTACCGTGATATTATAAACAAGGAAAGTAACATTTTTTTAGATGCGGTCTTCCTATCTGTAACGTCACATAAATTAATATACTTCCTTGTATCTTCTACTATACTAATAACAAATCGAAGCTTTGAAAATCCAAATGCGAGATGGCGCTGATCTTCAATTCTTTTTTTTTTATTTATTTTACAGAAATATTTCTAATACTTAAGAAATGGCGCTGAGAATCAATTCTTATATTTATTTTTGATATATGATACTTATCATAACATATTTTCATCATTTTTCTTTCAAAATTATAATAAATTTTAATTTTCAATATTAAAAATATAGATCTTATCCTTTGAGATTCTTGTATAAAAACAATAATAGTTCTATATTAAATCTAATTTTAGATTTAAGATTGGTCATAATTATAATTCTTATATCAAAGACGAACTAATTATTTCTATATTTTTATTACAATTTTTTTTTATCTCAATAATGTATTATCTTAATCTAAATTAATAATATGATATTAGAATAGAGGCATGCAAATTATATGATACAAAATGCATTGGATGATCTATTTTATATCTAATCTATGATTTAATATTTGAAATTTTATTTTTAATTTCTCTGCAGTAGATGGTGTTGTAAGTAAAAAATTTTGATGTTGTTCATGTGTTATATTATTTCAAAGCAACTAAAAATATTGTTAATATTAATGATTTAAATTTAATGCTATAGATGTTAATATAGATTTCATGTATTTGTGATTTATTGCTTTTTCTTCATGTGATATATATATATTTGTATTATATTTTATTTATTAATATATATGTGAACATATTGGCGGGAAATAAGAAGACATTGTATCGAAATTTGTTATCTTTATTTTAATATAACTTTTATTACATCAATTAATTTTAACGTTTTAACGTTTGTAAAACCAAGTAAGTTAATTCATAGTTTTTTACTATTATTAATATTCTTTGTTTATATTACATCATAACCTTAGAATTTATATGTACTTTTAATTAATAATTCGTTTTTTTATATATTTTATGGTTGACATTAATGTGTTTCTACAGAATAAATAAATAAAAACGTCAGATGGCAGAAAGATTGGAAGATCTTAATTTACCAAATGCAGTTGTAACAAGAATTATAAAAGAGGCATTACCAGAAGGAGTTACAATTGCTAAAGATGCTAGAACTGCAGTAGCAAAAGCATCATCAATTTTTATATTATATTTAACATCATCTGCAAATATAATTGCTAAAAAAGGAAATCGTAAAACAATAAGTGGTCAGGATGTTATTCAAGCAATGAATGATATAGAATTTGATGAATTTGTTGATCCACTTCAAGAATCATTAGAAAATTTTCGTAAAGCTCAAAAAGAAAAGAAAGATGCAACATCTAAAAAAAAACAACAGAAAAAGGATGAAGATGATATAATAGAAGAGGAAGATGGTGGAAGAGAAGTTATGGTTTTTTGATATGTATTAAGTTACATATTATATAAATTATAATATGTAAAAAAAGATGTATACACATATTTTACAGAATTATTATATAAATCTAATAAATTTTGTCACATTCTATTTATTATTATAAAATAAATTAAATAAAATATATTAATATAAAAAATTTAAATGTTTTAAATATTTTAAATCTTCATTAAAGATTACATTAGTTTTCAAAAAAATTGTTTCTTTTTAAATCTTCTTTTATTTGTTTTATTTATTTTATTTAATTTTTATTTTAACAATGTTTGCTCAAAGAGTATATATATTTTAATAAAATGTAAATATTTCAATTATTAATATCTTTAAGATATACTATACTTGAAAAATGAATTTTTATAAAAACAATTTTTTTATAAACACACAATTTATAAAAGCTTACTTAATTTTTCCTTTTTTTTGTATTATTAACTCTCAATTGTTATAATGGATTAAAATTATAATTTTACTTATAAGACTATTATATTTACAGATATATTTACAGATATGCCAGTCCATTTTATATAAAAATTATTTATAGTTAAATTAATAAATTTAAATCCTCATTTTATTTCTTCTTCTCTAAATATTTAATATCTTATTATTATTTATATATTGAATAATAATAAAAAAAATAATTTTTATCTATTTTAAATGTAATTTTTATATATAATCTCATTTCTATAAAACATCATTATTATTGAAAAAATAATAGTAAAATTAAACAATTTTCACATATATATAAATAAAAATTGTTTGTTTTTTAAAATTTTTGTTCAATAATAATTATAATTATACAAAAAATCAAACATTAAATATTAATTAAATCAATTAATCAATGGAAAAGGTATATTAAAATAATCTCATTTGATAAATTCTATACATATTATGAAATATTTTTCTTGTAAATGGAAATATTTGAAGTATATAGATATGTACTATACATATTATAATTCTTAAATAATAAATTATTCGTATTATCATTAACGAAATAGAAATTCTGAAAGACAAATGATCTAAATAGAATTATTTACAAAAAACATTATTCATATTTTAAGGCTTTAAAATGTGAATTTTATGTTCTATCACACTTCTACACATTGGACAATCTGAAGAAATCATATTTGCACAACCTGAACAACAACAAAGGTGCCCACATGGTAGAAAAATTACTTCACACTGTAAGAAAAGTAAGAGATTCTCAAGAAATGATAATATAATTTTAATGAATATAAAGATCTTTTAAATAAAATGAAAATTTTTTTTACTTGTAAATCAAGGCAAATTACACATTCGGCAGTATTAATATTCTGAATAGTATTATATTCTTGATAATTAGAACTTGTACAAGCTTCTTCTGGTGGTGCAGAGGGTGTAGATTCGTTAAGTTTTAATTCTGCTAAATAATTTTCAACTGCAAGTCTTATAGCAATACGATCGTTTTCAGAATGTATTCCAATCTAAAATATTAAATATATAATTAAAAAGTGTGATAATATATAATAAAAGTAAAAATTTTTAAATATTTTACATACAGTTTTTAATTGTTCATCACTAAGATTTGGAAGTAATGATGGTAAAGAAGCTAGGAATGGCAAACAATGCAATGCACCTGCTATTGCAACATGTCGTACTAACATTGGTTCTAGCATTTCCAATAAACCCTGAGGTCGTGTTTCCATTAAAGATTGATATTGCATTAACCAAAATTGACTTTTTCTTCTAGAATTCTTCAAAAATAAATTTTTATAAAATTATTATAAAAAAATCAAAACAATATTTAAATTTATACTTACAATAATACAACGTTGTTGTTCTATACTATTAATTGTTTTTAGAAGTTGATCTCTTCTATTTTTTTGTTGTTCTAATAAATTCATTAGAATAGCACTCAAAGCTACTCTTTTTTGAGCTATTTCATTCTATTTAGTATAAAATAATAAAAAAATTTTAATTTCTGTTAAAAATTTTAACAGAAAGCTACGAATGTATATAAATAACTAGAAATATTACATACAAGTTGTTGATTAATTTCTAATTTTCTCCTCTCTAGTTCAATGTTTGTAAGAGCAGCTAATTGCGATTGTACTAAATTGACTTGTTGCATAATACTCCAATAACGTGCATCACTACGTTCTAGCAATGCTGCAACAGCAGCTTTTTGTAAGACTTCATCTTGTCTTAATGTATCGATTAAATTTTTTCTATTTTTTTCTTGATCTTGCATTATTTGTGCTAAATGATCATTATTCCTTACTTCTCTGAAATATTTGTTAGATATTAAATATATTTATATTTTTGTATAAAATATTATCACTATGTTACTAACAATGTGAGCAAAGATTGTGCTGTATAATCTCTATATTTACTATGTTCTTCCAATTTCTTGGTTCTATGAAGTTCTTCTTCAAGTAATTTTTCCATTGACACTATTAAAATCATATAAATAAATATAAAAAGTTATATATAATTATATAATGAATTATATATATATGTGTCTATTGTTTTAGATATTTAATACTAACAAAGAGTATCTTTTGTACGGAACATGAATTGTTCTGTGTGACAAGAAGATAACAATTGTATTTCTTCTTGTTTTTCCTGTTCTAATAATTCAGCTTGTGTTTGTCTTTCCTCTTCGCTATTTCTTAAAAATTCTTTGATAACCTTGTCTGCTTCTTTTTCAGCTAAAAAATATTTATAAGTTAATATTTATTAATTAAGTTAACAAAGAGTTTTAATATTTAAAAATTTATATGTAAAAAACTTTTTTTAAATTTAAATTTTATTTTTATTAGTAGCTATTATAACTTTATTATAATATTTTAGTAATAATAAATATTTATATTTTATTATTAATTAAAATTAATATAATAAAATATTTTAATTATACCATTGTAAATGTAGGAAAGTAGACGTGCTCTGTTAGAATCTTTTTCTTGTTGTACTTTTTCTAATTCATGTTGTAATTGAGTTTGCTGCAAAACAAGATCTTGCAACAACTAGAAATAAAGATATTTTAATGCTAGCAATTGTAATAAATTTTTTTATATGAAAATAAAAAGTGCTATTTGTAAAACAATAGTTGCAATCTCAAATACCTTTTTTTTATGTTCTTTTAACATTGATTGAATTTCGATTTCATATTCTTGTTGTTGTTTGATGTTTTTTTCAACCTCCAATAATGCATTTTGGCGATGTTCCTATAAAATAAAATTAATTATTTAAATTGTAAATTAGTTTTTATTTATTAAAATATTATAAAAATATTTGTTTTAAAATGATATAAGCAAAATTAAGCATTTTTAAACATATTATAGCAATATAAATATATAAATTAATTTTTGCTTTTAAACTGCTTAAACATATAATAAGTATTTTATGAATAAAAATTAAATTTCACATAAACAATAGTAAATATGCAGTGAAATATATTTGGAAGCATGCTAAAATAAAACAAGCATCCACATGCCTTCATTTTTTCTAGCTTCTGTAATGCTGCCTAAAAGTAAAAATCAAAACATTTAAGACACATTTTAAAAGTGCAACATCAAGTTCATAATCCTATATAACACATGATACCTGTACATCATTATTTTTATTCTGATATACCCCTTGCACATTCTCAGAATTTATATTTCTTGATAAATCAGTATCAGAAATAGAATCTTCCGGTGAATATTCAATACCACTTTCATTTGCTAGAAATGCTATAATTACTATTGTGCCACCATTTAAAATATCTTGAGGAGGATATAATAGATTTAACCCATCAATATTTAATTGTGCTAGTTGTTGTACATAACCCAAAGATTTAGGAAGCTTACGAAGAGATTTATTTTGACTAATATCCAATATAGAAAGTTGTTTTAAATTTCCCATTGCTTCTGGCAATTGCTTTAAATTGTTTTTTGCAACATTTAAAATATTTAATTTGTTTAAATGTACTATTTCATTTGGCAGTTTTCGTATATTGTTGTCTTGTAAATAAAGTTCCTAAAATATATAATATGATTAAAAAATAATTTTTTTTTGAATTTCAAATAGATTTAATTTATATGACATATTTCAATAATTAAATATTGAAATAACATATACCTTGAGAGAAGCAAGACACATTATATCAGATGGTAAATGAGTAAATTCATTTCCATGAATATCTAATATAACAAGTAATGACAAATCGCTTAAGGCACCTCCACCAGAAAGTGAAGTTAACTTGTTATTATGCATCCATAATACCTTTTTTCTAAATACTTTACATAATGAATAAATACCAGAGGGTACATGTTTTAAAGCACATTCAGAGACATCAAATATTGGTTCTGGATTTTCTCTGGCCTATAATAAATGATTATGATCTTTACATATTTTATTATTAACAATATTTTTATATTTTTTTAACACTGAATTTTTTTTTAATCAATAAAATCATTAAATCAATATTAATAAAATAATAAAAAAATGAATAAAAAAAAATATTAAATATTTGATAGATTTTTTCATTCATATATATCATTATATACATATGTAGAATAATAAAATATCATATGAAGATTATATGTATATGTATATATATATATAATCTTCTATCTAAAATCAAGATCCATCATATGAGGGAATTGAATGATTAACCTCCATTCATTAAGAAACATACCAGATATAATTTGTGTTCCAATCGTGCTTTATAATCGATATTAACTTTGCTCCCATGTGATAGAAACATCATTAATCGTATATGTCATGACAATAAATGAATATTATGAGTGCAAATCATTCTGTTATTGGTTTTTTTCAGCACACGTGATTTCACATACTTTGTAAAAGACTAACCAATATCAAATTGACAAACAGTGACAGTTCATAAAACGCATAAAACAGTGACGTATCTTAATATTTTAACTCCCTTGAAAAAGCAATATTATTTTGAAATCGATATTTTATATAGAAATTATTATTAATTTTGGTTTATTTATTTTTATTTTAACAACAAAAATATATATGCAATTCGAATTAAAATTTAAAATCATATAAATAATAAATATAATACAAATTTTATTTTTTATGTATTTATAAAAATATATTATTAAA